CTGTTGTTATCTCAGCCCAGGAGTGTTTCTCACTCTCACTCTTCCAATTCTCTCCGCCATCCCACCGGGGCAGGGGGAGTGAGCGAGCGGCTGCGTGGTGCTGAGCTGCTGGCTGGGGCTAACCCACGACACCACCCAAACCATGCCATGATTCTATTCTATGATTCGCATGCCGTGCCCCAGCGCCCACAGGGTCGGATACCCCACAGAGACCCCGTTACCTCCACCCGCAGGATGTCATCCGCGGAAATGTCCTCCACCTTCTGCTCCACGTGCTCCACCAGTTTGGTCTCCAGCTCCACCAGTATCCTGCCACGATACGCGACTCCCTCGCCCTTGGGGTAGACCAGGGACAGGCGTCAGGACCCCGGTACCCCTCCCCGCAGGCGAGCTCTGCCTTTGCTTTCAGTGGGCTTCACTGCAGAGGAGTGAGATCAGGCAAAGTATTTCTGCAAGCGCGTTGAAGGTAGAGAGCGTTTGGGCAGCAGAGCAATATCAGGAGGTGTTTAGCCAGCGGGAATAGCCAGGGGCAGAAAACGCAGCGCAGGCTCCTAATAACAAAGCCAGTTTGGGTTAATAGCAGCTTTCTTTTGGCGAGGAGGGGTGGGAGCTTAAGTTTAGGTTGTGCTGGAAAGAAGCTGATGTCACCTTTCCTAAATTGAGCGTCTCGTAAGGGTCGGGGAAGCCGGTGAACTCCCGGGGGCTGCCGTAGAGGTTGATATAGCAGGGACCGAAGGTCGGCAGGAACCCGAGTCCATCGTCCACTGGGGACCATGGGGAGAAAGAGCCATTAGAGAGTCCCGAAGGCACTTCAAGGACGTGTCCCACGGAGCTTCACTGCAGGACCACGGGAACCACACGCATGTGGCTGGAGGCCACCAAAATGCTGCAGTTTTCCACCCCCTTTGAGTCCTACAACCACTTACCTTTTTGCAGGAGAAAGATAAGGTGGGTGTGGGGCTGTGCGGGGGGCACAGAGCTTCCCGATTCCAGGAAGGGTCCCCAGAGAGGGAGAGCATCGCTTTGCTGGTGTGAACCAGCGTAGGGGATTTACACCAGCCAAGGAGCTGGCCCCGTGCTCCTCTTAGGGCAGTAAGAGAGTGCTCGGAAGAGAATAGCTCATTTTTATGAAACCTCAAGCAGAAGGAGTAGCAAAGAGGCAGAAATCGTTTGCAGGGTCCTGCTCTGAGCTCCTGAGCTGGCGGCTCCCTGTGCACGGCTGGCTCAGCACACAACACGCACTAGACCACGAAGTCATCGCTGCCCAACACAGACGCCCCAAACCCGCCGTGGGGAAGGGCAGTGCTCCCGCGGGGCAGGGGGAGGCCGTGCTGGAGCCGTCCCCTCTTCCCACCAAGGACCCCAGGCACCACGATGCTCGCCCAGCTCCAGCCAGCGCTCCAGCCCTGACGGCAGCCGAACCAGCAAAACAATTACCAAGCGGTGATTGCAAACCGAGAGGCTAAGGGGACGTACGGTCAGCGGCTTTCAGAGGCTTCGCGAGAGCAGGAAACTCATCTGAGGCACAAAGAAATGGAGAGAGGTTAGGAAAGGCCGGCAGAAGAGCGCAAGGGGAGGATGGAGGGTTACGGAACCAAGGGTAGATGCTCTCATGGGCTTTTAGTGCCAAAAGATGCTGGAGAGACAGAGAGAGAAAGGGGGAGGTTGTTAAATAGCCCTATCGCCCTCCCCGGAGGCTGTGGGATTGGTGTGAAACAGGAGGATTTCAGACTCCCTGAAGGATGCTCTGCATGTTGCAAAAGTTGGACGCGCCCATGGGAGCCGCGGTTCCCCGGTGCCTCCTTGGGAGCCCGCAGGTCTCAGTGGTGGGGTGGGGTGTGCTGGCCCCGGGCAGACCCCTCGCAGCCTCCTCCTCCCTCCCTGGCCCCTCTCTCTCCCTCCAGCCCAGCCCAGGAGCTGCACTTTAACTGGGGAAGACGGGGGCTGGACACACAAGCACCCCAGTGGAGAAGAGTGCTGCACCCCAATTCCACACCCTGCACACACAGCCGGGCAGCGCTGGGGGGGCACAGGCTGCGGGACACGAGGCTGCAGCTTTGCAGCCCCGTCCCACGCCCCTACAGCATGGGGATGCTCGCGATGAGGTGGGGGTTTGCAGGGCAGCTGAGAGTCTCAGAGATGCAGAAAGCAAAGGGAGCAGAGCGAGGGGAGTCCCGGTGAGGTTGCAGAGGCCACCGAAGCTCGTTAGCAGCAGGAGACGCTCATGCAAGTTAGGGCAGCCTCTGCTCCTGGCCCTGCCGTGGCTCTCGGTAGCCCAAGAGTGTCCCAGCTCCCTCCCGCACGGTGTCACGCAGTCAGTGACACAGTCAGTGTCACCCAACCGATCCCTGCCAGCGCCTCCGTGGTGCTCCTTCACTTCAGAAAGCTCCTGGGACTTGAAACAGCAGCCTCAGCACAAGCTGGACCTGAACCCCCACCCCGTGACAGCCCCTAAACGCCACCAAAGGAGGAGCCACCGGCGAGGGCACGCACAGGTGGGACGTGGCATCTGCCATCACCGGTGACACCACTGCCTGCCACCAACTGCACAGGGGACCGCAGCCACCTCCGCTCAGCAACGAAAAGAGGAAGCAAAAATGGGCTCAAGATGCGCCAGGGGAGGTTTAGGTTGGAAATTAGGAAGAATTTCTTTACGGAAAGGGTGGTCAAGCATTGGAACAGGCTGCCCAGAGAGGTGGTGGAGTCCCCATCCCTGGAAGTGTTCAAAAAACGGGTAGATGTGGCACTTGGGGACATGGTTTAGTCTAGTCTACCCTTGATTGGCTTAGAGTAGACTTGGTAGTGTAGGTTAACGGTTGGACTGGATGATCTTCAAGGTCTTTTCCAACCTAAGCGATTCCATGATTCTATGAACCTCCGGCACACCATGGCCCCGCAGCCTCCCATCCCAACACCCCTGGGAGGACCTGGAGATCTTCAAAAACCACAAACCAGAAGGGGCCAGGTCCAACCAGAAAACAGATGGCAGGACAGAGCAACCCCCAGCACCCCGTCCCACACCTCCACCATCACCAGTGACTTGGCAGGG